ATTCTCTATTCTTATTTTTTCTGTTTGGATATGATTTGTTTATGTGTGTGTGTGTGTTTCCATTTATATAATTTAACGAACGAAAAGCAAAAACTAAACATTATTTTGATCCAATATGATTTTCGTTTCTTTTTCATCATCATCATCATTCCAAATTCACATTTCCAAATTCATTCATTCATTTTCATTCACTAGCCAGCAACAACAACAACAAAAACCGAAATGAGTTTTGATCATCATCATCGTTGTTGTTGTTGTTGGTTTGGCTGTTGAGAATGATGATGATGCTTTACGATGCGACATAATCCTTAGGGACAAAATATGGCCAACAGAAAAAAAATAAAAATAAAAATGATGATTCTTTTTTTCATTTTTGCTATTTGCTCGTTTTTTGTTGTTGTTGTTGTTGTTGGAATGGTGCCTTATAGAATCAAAATGCAAGAATCAAAAAAAAAAGGAAAACAAATGGGCAATCAACCAGTCAGTCAGTCATTCATTCAGCTCGAAACCAGAAAAAAAAGGTATCATTATACCAGAATATTGCAAAATTATGATGATGAATAAAACAGGGAAAAAAGAAATGATGAAATAAACCTAAACCAAAAACAAACAAAATGTGAAAAATATATGAAAAATCGTTTGCCTTAAACATTATTATTACTGTTCGCTTAAATTTGGCTTTCAAGGAAAAGTAAGTGTGCGTAGGTGTGCGCATTTTTTCGAAATTGACATCAATTGGGCGCCATTCTAAAATGTTTTTTTCTTCACCATCATCGGTAAATCGTAAATAACGAAAACAAAAACAAAAAATTGTACCAAACAACATTAATTATAATGAGTTATTTTTATTATTATTAGAAATGTCGAAATTAATGTTTCCTATCGTTTTTTGTTTCGATGATTTATCATCGGGCTATAAAAATATTCTTTTTTTCCCCTGAAACATATATTTTCAAATATAAAAAAAAAATATTACCTTATTTTTTTCTTGAAAGTTCACTATAGAAAAAAATCGCTATCGAAAGAAAACCATAAATTGAATGAGTGATTTGTCGAATCATCATCGATATTCTTTTTTTCATTCAAGTAGAAACAGTAGCAGCAGAAAATCGAAATGTTATTTTTTTGGCAAACTTTTTTTTCAAGTTTCCTTCCTTCGATGTTGATGATGATGATTACCGTAAACTAGATTCAACTAAATCGACGACTATATTCACTCTACTATATCATCATCATTTGTCACAATAGAATCGAATCGAATCAAATCGAATGGCAATGACCCATCAAACATAACCGATCACCGATCATCATCCTGATCGAACCAGCAAATCGTTTCCAGATATTCGATTCTTGGATACCACGTTTTTTCATCTTTTTCTTGCTTCTGTTGTTGTTGTTGTTGTCTTGTTGTTTTATTTTTGCTGACTTTAATTTAAAAGTCATGCAACGAACAACGAGCAAAAAAAACAGAATAGAATGATGGAACGAATGATGATGATGATGATGATGATGAAGCTGGTTGGTTGGATGGCGAAAAAAAAGTAAAAAGCGAAGAAATCTCTCCGGAGAATTGGCAAGTTATAAATTTTTTTTTTGCTTTTTTTCGAAACGAATTAAATGTGAACGAAATTTTTTTTTTTGATGTTTTTTTACTTTTTACAACAAGGCAGATGAACCAGAAAAAAATGTCGAAGATTTTTGTTTCGACTTGGATACATCACATTTGAAGGCAAAAGATTTTCTTTTGGGTTCCAGAATTTATACCCAAAAAAAGAAAAATCGAATCGAACGTCAAGTTCACTGATTTTTTTTTGGGCAAAGGATATCGATAGTATTCGATTCTGATGGTGAGGGTGGTAAAATCGATGGTGGTGATAGTGATGGGGGGTGTCACTCACTGTATGTATTTATTATTCGGAAATATTTTTTTTGCTGTGACAACGATGATGACAATGAATAAACCAAAGTCGAAAAAAAACAGAAAAAAACATATTGATAGTAACCACGTAATGGTTTCACGAGACATTCGAATCATCATACGAGCAACATCAAATTCCGAATTGTTTTCCAGATCCAAGCGATAAAGCGAAAGTAATAGTAAAAAAAAACTTGAAAACAAATGATCCATTTGATTTTTTTTATGTTGAAACATAAATAATAGAAAAGAAAAGAAAGAAAAAAACAAAAATTCAAAAGTTTAAATCAGCCAAAACATTAAAATTTTAACACTACAAAAAAAAATCATCAATATCAAAATACAACACTGTATTTGAAAAAAATATTTACGTTTAAAATCTATTCAACCAACCGACCAAACAAACGTTCGAATTGAGAATCCAGAATCGATATTTATTTATTTATTTTATTTTTTTATATCCAAATAAAATGTTTTCTTCAATTGCCCGAAATAAATAGATAAATTGAGTGTCGAATTTAATGATGATGATGATAGAATCAGTGTGAAAATGAATGAATGACTATAAATGGTCAACCATTGATTTTTTCGCTGGTTCTGGTTCTTCACCAAACAAACAAATAAACAGTTAGGAAAAACCATTTTCCAATATTACTGATGTAAGATATGAGAGTTGTAAATTAAAAAAACGAAAAACAGAAAAACAAAAAAAAAACAATAAATGACCTCTCGCTAACTCGAGAGAATTCGAATTCGAACAACAAAGATTAATTTGGTTCGCGATTTTTTTTTTTTGGTTAATATAGACTATTATCATCTATCTATTCTCCGAAATGAAAATAGCCGATTCTCTATATTCGTTTCGGAAAGATGAACCGTTGAATGTGACTTGTAAATTATTTTCATTTTCGATTTGTTTCATCTAAAACATTTTTCTTTTCCTCTCTTCGAGCATCTTCTTTTCATTTGGGAGTCGTTATTCATTATGGTATGTTTTGAAATAAAGAAGAAAAAAAATGGTCCAATATGGTTTCTCTAAGGGTCGTCATCAACCTAGTCGTCCACACACACACATCCCATTCATTTCAATAGCTTTGGGCTTTTGTTTTATTTTTTGTTTTGAAAAATTATGGGTCGAAAATTGGATGATGGCTCGCTCTCATTCGCTCGCTAGTTAGTTCATTTGTTTGTTTGTTTGGTTCGGGTTCGGTTTGTAAATAAATGAAAAAAACAAAAAAACAAAAAACAAACTAATTGGACAACCAAAATGAATTAATAGCAAAGTTTGTTATTTATTTTCATATAGAAAAAACAAAACAGATACTGATGATGATTACAAATATTTTTTTTTCATTTTCTTTTTTGAATTTTGTTTTTGTTTTTTGTTTCGCTATTTTCACCAAAAAAAACACAACACATCTCTCATTGCCAATAGGGTTTTACATTTATTGTCGAAATAGTTTCGAACGAACGAACGAACGAACAAACATTCGAAAGAATCCTTCCTTTTTTTCCAATGAATTTTCTGTTTGCTCCATCATTTTGTAAACGATCATTTTTTCCTATTTTGTTTTTTTTTTGTTTTTTGTTTTTGACTGAGTTTTTATATTAACGAGTTTAAATGAGATGGTGATTATTTTATTTTATTTTTACTTTTTTTTTCTCTGTTTTTCTGTTTTCATCATCATCATCATCAATGGTAAACTCTAGAGACCATTCTCTTTTCTCAAATTATTTAACACAATAAACAATATTATCAACAACAAACAACAACAACAACTGGATTCACCATTTGTTATCAATGATAATGGTATATGATGATGATGATTTTTTTTCCTAAAAAAAAATTCTTCGCCTACATTATAACCGTTTTTTTGTTTTTGTTTATAGGCACAAAAAGAATAAAATGAAAATGAAAAAACAAAAGCGAATAAGAAAGAAAATGTACGTTTTACTTCATTATTTTTTGTTCTGTTTTTTTCATTCAGTTTCATTTTCACCATTTCATTAAGTCAGAATAAATGGCAAAACGAGAAAAGGGTTAACTATATGGTGCTGCTGCTGCTGTTTCTGATGATCAAAAAGAATCCAAAACCAAAACAAAACAAAAAACGTTTCGGATAATAATAACATACGTTGTTTTCGATTCTGATCTATTTTTTCGCTAATTTTATTCTTTTTTCTTTTTTTTTCTCATAGAATATTGGTATCCATTTAAAATAGCACTTAGTTTACAGAATTTTTCTTTTCCAATGGCCAATAATATTATCGTTAATGGTATTCTTTCTCATGACTACTATTGAACAACAACAACAAAATACCAAGAATAATGAAATGAAATGAAACCAATTGGATAATAATGTTGCTCAACGTTTTCATCGTGATTTAACCAGCAGGAAAAACGATATCCGAATTTGTTGGCCTTCAATATCTATATGATGATGGTATTGAGAATCAGAAGAAAAAAAAACGAAAAACATACAATTTTTTAGCCCTTTTTTTGTTCTGTCTAATTTTCTTCCAATTGATGTTTCAAAATAACAATAATAATGAAAATAATGATGATAATGATCACACACACACTCCTACACAAAAACATTCAATCGAAATCGTTGGTTGATCATCCAAAAGAATCAATTCTGATTACTTTAATACTATTATTATTATGATTATTACGTTTTTACGTTTTGCAACTTGTTTTTTTCTGTTGTTTCTCATTTGTTTTCGTACTTTGTTCATTTCAAATCAAAAACGAGAAGAAAAAAAAAGATTTTCATCGGTTTATTCGGAAAAAAACAAAAACTCAACACAATAGTGTAATAACCCTTTCTCTCTCTCTCTCTTTTGGTAGCAAAACCCTTCATTATTTTGATTCGAAAGGATTTCTTTTTTTCCCTACTTATTTTCGTTGTTTTGCCTACAAAATGGAGAATGGATTAACCAAACAAACAATCAAATCAAACCAAAGAAACCATACACACACACCGAGAGAGAGAATTAAATAAAATTCAATAATGATCATCATCATTAGTGCTAGAAGTTTGTTTTATTTTCTTCTGTTTGTCAAAAAAAAAGTATTTTTTTTTTTTTGAAAAATAAAATTATGAAAATATGAATTGATTGGTGACATCTATCGACAATAATATCAAATAAATTTACAAAAAAAAACTTTGGAAATGATCGATTACCAATCGGCCGAACCACTTGCAAGATAATCTTTACGTCCAAGACTTGATGCCTGTTTGTTTTGGATGGCTTCCAATTTCGGACAATTAGTTATACGATGACCCAGACCACCACAATATGAACAACCTTTTTCATCACCCATTTCCAAATATTTTTCACTATCCGATTCCAATGCAATCAAGAATGGTGGTAATATTTGTTTAGCTTCAATTAACAAATGTTTAAGATCCAAAAGTATGGATTGATCAACTGATTTGTTGATGAATGTTGTTGCAATACCTTTCTGTCCATAACGACCAGTACGACCGATTCGATGTACATAATTTTCAATATCATCAGGCATATCATAATTAATAACATGTTTAATTTCAGGAAAATCTAATCCTTTTGATGCAACATCAGTAGCAACCAATACATCTTTTTCACCACTTTTGAATTCATTTACAGCACGTAATCGTTCTTCTTGATCTTTACCACCATGAATAGCAACTGCTTCAACACCTTTAAGCAATAAATATTCATGTATAGCATCGACATCTTGTTTTTTTTCGGCAAAAATCAATACACGTGGTTCAGTTTTCTGCAAACATGATAAAAGATGTACAATTTTTGCTTCTGGTTTAACATATTCTACTTCTTGTACAACATCTTTAGATGCGGCACCAGCTCTTCCAACATTAATGGTTACCGGTTTGACCAAAGCACTACGTGCAAAATTCTGTATTTTTTTCGGCATAGTAGCCGAAAATAAAAGTGTTTGTCGTTGTCCATTAAAATACGAGAATATTGTACGTATATCTTCTTCAAAACCCATATCGATCATACGATCAGCTTCATCCATACAAAGATAACGGCAAACATTTAGATTGACCATTTTTTTCTCCAACATATCAATCAAACGACCAGGTGTTGCGACCATAATATGTACACCACGATTGATTGTTTCCAATTGTTCTTTTATCGATAATCCACCGATACAAAGACATGTACGTAATCGAGGCATTTTTCGATCCAATTGTACAATACTTTGACTATAAAATTCAATTATTTCAAAGATCTGTCTAGCCAATTCTCTTGATGGTACTATGATTAAACCATATGGACCTTCGTTTCGTTGAAATGGTAATTTATATTCTTGTTCTAAACAGAACATAATTATTGGCAAAACAAAAACTAATGTTTTTCCTGAACCAGTAAACGCAATGCCAATAATATCACGACCAGAAAGTACTGCCGGTAATCCTTGCATCTGTATTGGAGATGGTTTTTTGATTTTCTGCTTTTTCAAACTATTCAGTAAACATTTTGGAAATTTCATCGATTTGAATGATTTTATTGTTGGTGGTAATTGTTCACCTTCCACAGTGATACGATATTTTTGTCGAATTTTTTCATGCATTTCTTCCGATCGTTTCAATATATATTTCGGTGCTTTCCACGATGTTTCAATCGGATCTTGATATTGAATTCCTTTGGCCAATTCGGATACAGCCATCAAAGCTTTCTTTTCGGCTACACTTTCCAATATTTTTTCCTCTTCTTTCAACTGTTTTTCAATATCATTTTCTTTTTTAGCTTCAGCTTTTTTCTTCAATTCGGAATGTTGATCCAATAAACTTAGTTTAGCACGTCGAAGTTTTTCCAAATCATCTACATCATTTGTTTGATTTGCATGTTGTGATGATTCATCATCCGAACCAGGTAATGATTGTGATTTATCTTCTTCATTTGGATGTCCTGCAATCAGTAATTTTTTATGACTAATTTCAGCAAGTTTTGCTTGTCGTCGTTGTTTTAATGGTACATATGGAACATAACTATCCAAATCAGATTCAATATCATCATCTTTTTCATCCGACGAATAACGTCTATATCTCTGTGACAGCAAACGACAAAAAAAAGACCGAATATGATTAAATTATTCAAGAAACAAAATAGATCATACCTTTTTTGATGAATTTAAATTTTCATCCGTCGATGATGGATTCTGTTTTTGATCCATTTTGTTTACCAAAAGAAAAATTCTTCATTTCATCATCATCGATGATGAAATATTCGATTCGATTGTTTCGACGACAACTATCGATAGTGATAGCAAATGAACAATCGATTTTTTTTCCTTCTCACTGTGTTTTGGTGTGTGATGTTTTTGATGTTTGAGTTTAATGATGATAATGATGATGATGATGGTGAACGAAAAGAATATGTTATTCATTTCAAAACGATATTATCATCATCATGATCAATGTGTACTATGGTACACGGAATGAAATGTTTTCTATTTAACTTATTTATAATTTATTTTAAACTATCTTCTTTATTTGCACATTTAATTTGAAAATCTTAATTTGAAAATGTTTTAGCCGTTCAAATTCGAGCGATTCACCATCAAAGCTTTTTTTCCTTGAATATATTCCTGGCATATCGTTTGTTCATTCGATTCTTCTTTTTTCCTCCCCAACGACGAACAATGTGTGATAACTATCATCGACTACCAGCAATATTCCCTTAATTTTCCATTCTTCCTCATTTGAAAACGTTTTTTTAATGATCTGAATTTGAATTTTGTAACTGATCCAATAATCAATCAAAAATGGCTTTGAATATGAATACTCCAAACATCAATAATATTAATAGCATTAATAATAATATTGCTAATAATAATAATAATAATGTTTCCAATAATAACAACAATAATATTCGAGGAAATCATCATCAACAACATCAAAGAACACAACCATCATCAACAACAACAATAACATCATTAATAACAAAACTACAACAATCATTTAGTGATGCTATGTCAACACAGAAAACAACCGTTGATCGAAGAAATTTTGAAAAAACTTATAAAAATATGAATAAGGTAAGCGGCGAAAAGAGAGGATTTTCTTTTTTGTTTTCCTTTAACAAGCGAAGGAAGTGCATTTTTTCCTCGATAAAAAAAAAATGTCAATTTTTAGTCAATTTGGTGGTTGCCAATAGTAATCATTTCCTTTTTTTTAATCTGCTTTATTCTTGTTGATTGTAGAACAGGAAAATGATTTTGTTTTTCGTTTCTTCATTGCAAAAAAAAAATTGATTAATCTTTTTTTTTTTTTTTTTTGATTTTGAACTAGGTTGTCAAACTTTGTCAACATAGCCGAATGAATTTAAAAAATTCACCACCATTCATATTGGATATATTACCTGAAACATTTCAACATTTAACAACTGTTTATAGTAAACATGAAGATCGTTTAAATATTTTAGATGAAAATGAATATTTTCGTATATTTTTAGAAAATTTAAATAAAAAATGTAAACAAGCTAT